CGGACGTGGAACTTGGCCCGTGCGGCCCGCAGCGTCCAGGCCATTGTCTGCGGCCGCGCGGATCGATACGGCGCGCCCTTGGGGTCAAATATCACTTCCAAAGTCGCCTGGCTCCGCGGCAGCTGCAGAGCCTGGTGGCCCGGGTGGTGGCCCTCGCTGGAGGGGGAAGCATCCCTGGGCTCTGGGTCACCGGAAGCGCCCCTGGAGGGCTGGCGGACCACCGGAATTGGCCGCACCCCCACACCCGGGCTGGCACAGACCAGAGCCTTAGGGCCGGTCCCCGGAACCCCTCAGCCAAGGCGGCCCTGTTAGATTTTCCACCCTGTCCCGGGACACAGGGTCCCTTAGAAGAGGGGTTGGGGTCCAGCCGGGGATACTCAGCACCCTTCTCCGGGACAAGTCTCTTCTCTGCATCCCAGGAACACGCACGGGCTCTGGAGAGCCGGCATAGTTCCCCTACTTCCCAGATGCACCGGGCGAGTTGCAGAGTTGACCTGGAACCTGCCCTAGTTTGCTTAGTGGGGGATCTAGGGGCAAAAGGGGGTCACCGAAGGGTGTCTGTCGGCGAGGGTGAAGCTCGTCCCCGCGTCCGATGGGGGGGTGCCCTCTGCCTGTGAGAACTGGGCCACTGGCTTTGTCCTGGTTCTTCTGCAGGAACGGGAGGCTTCTGCCTGGCAGGCTCTCTGCGTTGTGCGGGCCATTGCGGGGTGTCAGGACCACCCCAAGTGGGGTGTGCTCAGGGCAGGCAGCTTCATCAGTGGTGCGACCCAGAACAGTCCACACAGTGTCTGGCACAGCCTGGGTGGCCTGACTTCAGCCTCCAGCGAGACCCCAGCCCCACCCCCAGTCTGGAGGCCACAGAGGCCCAGGCCCCTGAGGACTGGATTCGAGGGACATTGCGCTCATGGGGCTTCCCTGGCGCCTGGGAAGGAGAAGGCAGAGAGTGCGCCCCCTCAGGCCCAGGTTCAAGCAAGGCAGCGTGGGGAACCCCACTGTGAGAGAGGCTGCCCAGGCTCACCAGGGCGGGTGGGCCTGTGGGTCTGAGTGGCTGGATGGGGCACATCTGTGAGCCACGGGCTGTGTGTGAGCAGGAGAGCTCTGTGATCAGTGAGGCTGGAAATCAGGTGCAGAGGGGCACACCTGCAGTGCCAGCTTCTCTGGAGGCTGAGGCAGGAGCATCCCTTGAGCCTAGGAGTTGGGACCAGGCTGGGCACCATCAAGAAACGCTGTCTCAAAAAAGCAAAAACAAAGCTCCATGGACCGAGGCTGGCCTGGGCCACGTGGCTGGGCAAGGTGTACAGTTTTGAGATGATGTCCCTGTATCTGGGGGACAGCTCTGTCCCGGTTCCCTGGTGGGTGAGGCAAGGCAGAGGCTGGGCGACCCATGAGCCACGGCCCCATGCCGCCCCAGGCCTGGCTGTTCCACCCGGCTGCCTGGGGTCCTCCCACTGCCCTCCTGCCCTCCGCTTTGTTCTGGTTCTGCCCGAGTTCCTGCTGCCTCCGGGCCCCTTGCTGGCCCAGCGGTGCTGTGGGGCACAGAGCCTCCTCACTGCCAGCTGCCTGGAGCGTCCCCAAGCGAGACTGCAGAGGGAGGCAGGCTGGGGTCTGCAGGGCTTCCCGGATCCCTGGGGTATGTGTGCCCTCCTGGTGTCTGGCTGGGGCCCCAGGTCTTGTAGAGTCCTGGACAAGATGGGACGGGTGCCAGAGGGGGCATCTTGGCCTCTGAGGGCACCTGGAGCAGGCGTGTGGGGAGCCTGTGGGTGCAGAGGAGCGCTTCTGCCCTTTCTGCCCTCCTTCCTGCCGCCCTCTCCGTGAGGGAGCAGTGCTGGGCCTGCAGCACCTTGACCCTGCACCCACCTGGCAGTCAGCCTGAATCCCAGATCCTTGGCCAGGCCCCTCCTCTGCTCAGTCACCCTTTGGTGGCGACTCCACCCTCCAGCCTGACTGTGATCAAATGAATGAAGCAGTTTAGTCCTCTGGTTTTGGCGTTTCAAACCATTTGCTCTCACTGCACCCTGTGCAGACACGGCTGGGGGAACTCCTACTCATCCATCAAAACCTGGTCCCAGAGTGCCCTTCCTGTGGTGCTCCTGCACTTCCTCACAGACTTCTCTTCATGTGTTAACACCCACCCTAGTTGTCCTCTCCTCTGCGGACATGCAGAGTGAGCCCCTGCCGTCCTTCCCCAAGGGCAGCTTCTCTGGTTGGGGATCTGGTGTCCCAGGGAACCCTGGCCTCTGTGTGCCCCTAGGTCCAACCGAGACTGCCAGATAGACCAGCATCACCGGAACCAGTGCCAGTACTGCCGCCTCAAGAAGTGCTTCCGGGTGGGCATGAGGAAGGAGGGTGAGTGGCCGGCGCGGGGTGGGGCGGGGTGGGGCGGGGCTTGTGGACCTCCTCCCTCCTCCCGGCTGCTCCCTGACCCCCTGAGCGCGGGCTCCAGAAATCCAATTAGGTCGGCAGCCTGCGGGTGCCTGGCGGGACTGACGCTGTGTCGTGGGGCCCATCGGGACTTCCGGCAGCCCCGGCCCTGACACAGTGGTGACCCCCTTGTCCTCTGTGAGCAAGGATAGGAGATTTTATTTGATTCGCTGTCCCCTTGCCCGCCCCCACCGTGCTGTGTTTGCCTAAGGCAGGAACCCAGCCAGATGAGGGCGAAAGGCCACGCACCCTTCCTCCTGACCTGGGGCCGACTGCCTGTCCGGCTCAGGGGACCTGGCAGCCGGAGCCTTTGGCGCCTGGCCTCCAGCGCTGCGCTCCTGCCGGCCAAGCTGTGTGTGGTGTCGTACTGGGCAGGCTCCCTGCTCCTCGCCAGGCCTGTGGGGGCCCTGGGAGGACCACTCCACCTTCCTCTTAAACCTGCTGATGTGCCCTCAGTCTCTGTCAGCTTGAGAGTGACTCCAGTCACCTAACTTGGACTCTGCCCATGCTTGTCCATTTGATCAGAATCCTGATATGCCTCAGATCAGGGCCACTTTTCTGATCCTGACTCCTCTGCACATACGTTCCAGCCGCAGGACCTTTGCACAGTTTGCACCCTCAGCCCCAACTGCACCTCCTGCGGAGGCCCAGCTGCCCTCTTGCCCCTTCAGTGCAGCTCCAGTACCGCCTCCTCAGAGAAGCCCTCCAGGCTGCCCTCCACTCCCTCCCGCCTTAATGCCTCATGTCCGCTTGGTTGTGGATCTGTGCCCTCACCAGGATGGCCCATCCCTGAGGCAGGCACTTGTGCTGCCCATTCGCTGGTCTGACTGCAGGGTTTAGTGCAGGGCCTGGTGTACAGTAGGTGCTCAGTAAGTGGCTCGGTCTGAATGACTATACGCCTAGCTCTTCTCCTCTGACAGGCTCTATTCTAAGCAAGTGTTATAGGTCAGGTTTTACAAAAGATAGGACTGGGATGAGTTCCAGACCAGTCTGGGCCACGCAGTGAGCTCCTACCTAGACTGCTACACATAGGAGACCCAGAACAAGGCTGGGTGTGGTGGTGCACGTCTGTCATCCTATCGCCGGGGAGGCTGAGGCAGGAGGTTCGCTGCTAGTTCGAGGCCAGCTTGAGCTACATAGCCAGACTTTTTCTCAAGACAGACCAGAACAGCAAAGCTTAGCAAGTTTTACAGATTCTCATTCGATTCAGTGATGGCTGCCAGCTTTATCAACATCTGCATTTCACAGATGAGGAAACTGAGGCTCAGAGCCAGACAGGTGGCTGAGGCTTGCGCCAGGATTGCAGAATCAAGCCTGGCTGGGACTTGAGCCCCACAGTGTGGGCTCAATGAGAACCAGAAGGAGGGCTGGGGTGGACTTGAGGCAGCGGGCAGCAGCAAGCCAAAGGCCCAGGGACACTGCAGTGATGCGTACAAGTGGGGAGCACAGCCTGGAGGGGAGGGTTCCCCCGCCGGGGAGCAGGGGCCTTGCTCCCCACACCTGCTTGACAGGTGCCACTGGGGTCCGGAAGTTGCCCAGTGCTGCTCCCCGTCCCTCCAGGCCCCTTCCTCGGCTGGCCCGGCCGTGACATGGCCTGCCAACTCCTTGAAGCTCATTTATTAGCCTCTGTCTGGCACCGGGCCAGGTCTGGCTCTGCACCTTCTACCCTGGGCATGGGGCCGCCTCCTGCCTCATTTCCCCCTTCCCACTTGCCTGCTCACTGGGGCTGAGCCCCGCTTCTGCCATGGCAAGGCTTTGAGGCTGCCTGGGGCCTGGGCAGAGTGTCCCTGGGGTGTCCCTTGGGCCGGTGGAGGGTGGACAGCATGTGCTGCCTGGGGCTCTGACATTGGCTCCAAGACCCCTGTTTGTGGGAGGTCCTGATGGATTGGCAGGTGGGGCTTTTCGCCGGCTCCCTGTGACCCCAGATGCGAGGGAGGGGTAGGATGTGGGGGGTGAGGCCCGAGGTCCTTGGTGGCCGCGCCTCTGAGGAGGGGTTGTGACAGTCATCTCCCCTTTCTCCTTCCTGTGCCCCCACCGTGTCTCCCACCTCTTCTCCCCCGTCTGCCTTGTGCCCTCCCCTGCCACCCCTTCCTACCTCGCTCCCTAGCGGTGCAGCGCGGCCGC